AAAATGGACGTTCAAGCCATTCACTCCTAGCATTCAACCAAATCGCATCACGTCCAAGGATTGCATTGAAGCTTGCCAACCTTTATGTTTAACGACCTGTTTACAAAAATATCAACATCAGACCGAGATACATACTCCACCGAAAAATAGTTCGAATAGGATTAATTATAATTCAAATAGTAACCCAAAGACCGAGGAGTTCCGAATTAATATTGTTACTATCCCATCTCCTACATTATCTCCTCTTGTAACCACGCACTGGAATGATTCTGATTGCCCATCAATCTGCCAACCAGCGTGTTTTTCTTCATGCATCCAGATGTATGCTTCTAATACACAACAGCCGTACAAGTTTACTTTTACCCCTTTGCCACCGATCACATCCACATCAAAGCAAGGAATTTGCATACCAGCATGTCAACCCGATTGTACACCTGCCTGTATTAAAGCTCAGGTAGATTGTCCAGATGTTTGTAAACCCTCATGCAAAACTGATTGTATTATCAATTCGAATCTACTCGATACTAACCAGAAAGTTCCTATTTATCTCAATCCTGAACTACCTTCAAAATGTATAAGTGCATGTATGCCATACTGCGACGAAACTTGTATCAGAGCTCAAGAAACCCTCGAAATGATTTCGCTCCAACTGACATTTCAACCTCCCTCTTCTCCTTCTCAATCTTCCACCACTTCTGTTTCTGAACCTAATACATTTCTCCCAACTGCCTTACCTCAGTACCTAACTTTTCCTCCCGTGAAAGAAGATACTGCCAGTATTTCGCTAAAACCTGGTTGTCCAGATGCTTGCAAGCCTTCATGCAGCTCCGATTGTATTCATAAAATGTCTGAACCTGTTCGAAATTTAGAAAATGAGTTTTCACCATTTGATCTAAAAGATTGGACAAACTGCCCGATTCCCTGTCGTCCTGATTGTGATATTTCTTGTGTTCAACAAATGGAGAACAGTAGCTTTGATGTTCTTACTGAAAACAGTGTTCCGAACACAACTCCTACATCTTTTGTGAGCCAAGCTATATATCAGAATAATGACGGTAGAGTCTCAGCTGTACAGAACTTTGTTACCGGAGATACAATTGCAAGCTGGATGACTGAAAGCTTTTCTAGAGCAAATGAAGCAGATGAGCATCTTCCATTTAACTTTGAGGAAGAGCCAAGCACTAAAAAACCCGTCACAGTTATAGTTGATGATTTACCCTATTCGGAAACTCTCACTTCGCCTGCACCTACAACCACTTCTAATCAACCGTCACTAAACATGAATTTGACAGATTCTGGTTGGCCTTCTAACAATTCTTACTCTGTTATATTAGTCAATTTTCAGAGAATAACCCACACTCAAACAGCTCAAGCACTTCTCCGATTCTTCTATCTAATGTGGATAGCATTGCCTCAGCTAACATCTCACAGTCCGACCAAACCTTACAAAATGAATTTCGACCTAAGTTCAAACTACCTTCTAACGATCCCGCACAAAGTAACGCTTGGAATGAACCACCAACTAATTGCCCTTCAATTTGTCAACCACTATGTGACACTGCTTGTATTCAGGTGCAACTTCTGACAAATTCATGCTTGCCAGCCTGTATGCCGGAATGTCAGCCAGTATGCCTTCAACTTCACGTCGCAACTCAAGTTCAAGCTCCACAGCAGGCACAATCACTACCATCGTGCACTCAAGCATGTATGCCAGCTTGTGAGCCACAGTGCACCTCAGCTGCTACTCAAAATACTCAGCCAACTTGCCCAGCTGTATGTCAGCCGATGTGTCAACCAACTTGCATTCAATCAATCCAACAACAACCTCAACCAGTGCCTGTTGTTATGACACTTCCAGGTTCTTGTATACCAGCTTGTATGCCAGCATGCGAGCCGGTGTGCGTATCAGCAGCTCAGCAGCCCATTGTTACTGCGCCAAAAATAACCCAGACGCCGACTTGCATCCCCACATGTCAGCCAGCATGCGAAGAGAGTTGTATTAAAGCTCAAACGGTACATATAAGCGTTACAAACAACGAGGTTCAATGTGTCGAATCTTGTCAACCAGCCTGCCAACCACAATGCATAATTAACCACAGCTCAGCCTCACAGGTTACCTTGGTTTTTAGCTTTATTGCTTTGATTCTCAGAAAAAAGCTTCTATTCTGTCATTCGCATCACCGCATGATAAATCTTTATCATTTTTTCATATTTTCACCAAAAGTCATCTGAAATGAAAATATCGAAACTTTTACAGGTTCCACTCCCAACTCAATCCGTTCAACAACCTCAATGCATTCCTCAATGCCAACCACAATGCACTCCCCAGTGTATTCAACAGGTTACTACTAAGTTTTGAGTAAAAAAACACATTAACGCTCTAAGGAATCACTCAAAATTCAAATCACCATACAAACCACGCCATGCCCTTGCGAACAACAATGCCAAGCAGGATGTCAGCAAACTAATCCCAATCCTCAGCAATGTCCAAATATTTGTGTTGAAGTAATCGAATAACCTTAAATTCCTATATTTTATACCGTATTCTATTTTTAGGTTTGTGAAAAAGAATGTCGTCCTCAAAATTCCGCTCCACAACAATCCGTTTCTCAACCAGTTTCTCAACAAACAACTCTCATTAATTTCCAAGTCCCCGAATGTATTCCAATTTGTGAACAAGTACATGGCTTCTTTCATTATATCAAACAAAAATATTCTCTACAGACTTGTAATTCTCAATGTGTCGAAAGACTTCCACAGGATCATTGCGGAAAGGTTTGTAGTGGTCAATGCAGTACAGCTTGTGCTCAGGTAAGATCAATCACTTTACATACTATAGGGATATGTTTTTTATAGCCAGCTGTGTCCGTACCAGCCAACCCTGCCCAGCCATCAGTACCCATTCATACTGCTCAACCTCAATGTGTACAATCTTGTCTACCAGCATGCGAACCTATTTGTCTGCAAGTTGTAGCTGGAGAGGTTCTTTTTTGAAATCTCTATGTATCCTAAGCTTAAAAACGTTTAGATTACACAAGATCAAGCTTGTCCACCCCTATGCGAGAAAAGTTGTGTTCAGAGCTGTGAAGCCCGTGGGCACAGCGTGGAGGCTTGCAAACCAAGTTGTGGTGCAAGCTGCATCGATTACTGCAAAACTCCAGCTGCAGCTCAACCTTCTTCTTATTATCTTCCTGTTCAGGTTTTTTTCAATTCTGATTTAATAGCTGAGACTGTTTTCTAGGCTCAAGCGGTTCACATGCCCATTATGACTCCAACCTATATTCAACCTCTTCAACCAGTACAGCCAGTGCAGCCTGTTCTCTATGCCAATATCCAAGTGAGAAAAAGAAAACGAAGAACAAATTTAAGGATTTCTTTCAGTTCGTCGACTCATGTGCCAAGCAGTGCGAACCGGACTGTCAGAACAAGTGTCAAGCAGCTGGTCAGCCTGTAACAGTTTGTCAACCAAGTTGCTCTACACAGTGTAAAGATATATGTTCTCGACAATCTACAGTATCTTCCTCAGCCGTTCCACAGGTTTCTTTATACTTTTAACTCAAAAAATTAAACGGAAAAATTCTCTCAGTCTTGTGCTCCCAAATGCATGAATGATTGCACGAATCTCTGTCCTTCTCAAACACCACAGTGTCACAATGGTAAGATTTCTTTCTCATGAGAGCTCAAACATCCTAACTTTCAGGATGTGAAGCTAGCTGTCAACAGCTATGTGGAACTGCTCCAACACCTGTAGTCCAACTCACCGTTAATTATAATTGCAATTTACCATGTGATGTTCAATGTACTCAGCAGTGTACTGCCAAAGGTCTTTTTCGTTTTTTTATAAATATTTTCTGTAGAACATATATATTTTATAGAACCCACATGTGCTCCACAGTGTGTTCAAGCTTGCGAGACAGCCTGCCCTGTTGTAAGCTGCGAGAGTGCTTGTGAAACAGTTTGCAAAGTAAGTGCTTCCGAACTTTTAATTTTAGTGAAAAACACTTTATTAAAGGGACAATGTGCTTTTTCTGGTCAAAACTCAAGACAATGTGCTCCGGCTTGTGCACAATCGTGCGCAGCATTATGCGCCAAGAAACGTGTGAAACGTTCATGAAAACTCAAATTTTCAACCCAACATTTCTTTCTGTTCTGCCCATTAGTTGCCTTTCACTTCATTTCTTTGGGTAATGTTGTTTGAACTATCATTTTCTTCAATTTTTCTATGTTTATCTTCATTTATCATATTTCTCCGTATTTTTATAATCTACGACAACAGTTAGCTAGTGAAAAACATATCCATTATACTATGAGAGATAGTATGTAAGGATATGATGAAGCTATGCTCGAATATCCTTCCTTTAATAAGCTAAAAAGAGAAAGAAAAAGTTAAATTATTACAAAGGAGAAATAGTATTTTCCTTACGCAGAGTTTAATGACAGATTTCTTAGAATTATTTTCAAAAAGTTATAGTAGCCACCATGTGTCTGTCTATTTATTAATAATGATAATAATAAATTATTCATATTTAGAGGTTTTCAGTTGACATGAAGATCAAGTGAAATGTAGTTGCCTGCTACGTTCATTCATTCTCTTGCAATCGCTAAGAACGGTTGCATTCCTTATCCTGTATCAAACTCTGGTTGTAATCAGTGGACAGTTATTATAAATACATTTATTGAAGAAAGGAAGTAAAATATGTTTAAACAACCTTATCTATGAAATGGATGCAAGTATATCTACCGTATTTATGACTCGTAACGATAATTTTTCAGAAATAGTCTAAAACAAGAAGAAAAAAAATAAAAAATGAGGGGAGAAATGTAAAGAATTAAGCACAGTTCGACTGCTATCAATTATCATTAATATTTTTTGTACAAAAAAACAAAGAAACCCTCTTTTTAGAAGCTACAAGTGCTGGCAGGAAATAAGTAGGAATTCTCATAAAAACAGAGGAAGAAATACTTCTATCAACGAAGAAAGATGGGTTAACCCCATCTATTCAATCTTTCCATTCTAAATCGACAACGTTGTCTTTCAACTGAGCTAACATTTTGATTCCATAATCACTGGGACATGCTATTTCTTGTACATGTTGTTTACAAAAAGTCTGCAATAATATAATTTTACTTTTATTCGCTTAATCAAAAAAAAAATGAAAAAGTCAAAGCTTAAAGAATTATCCTTACTTACCACTTTGCATTCGTCGCATGTAGATGCTTGATCACAAACCACTGAGCATTTTTGACAAACAGCTGGTTTCCAACGAATACGCAGTCTATTTATGAAAAATTTGCATAGATACCAAAAATAGGTGCAAACCTTTCCATTTTCAAATTGTGACCATTCATTGCTTCGTACTCCCGTAGCTGTGACAGATTCATAGAAGTAGACATAACGGCGCCGTAAATCTTAAAAAAAGAAAGAAAATGAAATTTTCTTGGAATCGTTCGAGAGAGTAAAAACTGTAAAGTGTTAAGCATACAAAACCATTTGTTTGGATTAATTTCAACGTATAAGAGTTATACGAAGGTGTATAAGGAATAACAGTAAGAAAACAAAGCACACACCTGTGCAGGTAAGAATCTGCTGATTTTTAATCTTGTGAAGACAGTATTGTTTTCTGCTGCCATTCGACGTATGAGCTTAACCATCACTTCCCGACTACAGTGAAATTCGTAAGCTGATATAAGTAATGTCATTACTTCATCCGGTTGTAAAACACTGCAAACAGCTTTCTAAATTAGCAATCTAAACTTTTTCTTACTCTAAATTCTGCCGTTTGATATAAGTTTGACAAGAATCAATAACTGGTTGAACCATGTACTTATTCGATAATCGGAGAATGACAGAAAAGTTTGTAGCTGAAAGATAAACAGTCTGAATTATGGTTTTTCTCTTTATTTTCTCAGAAATGAGAAATACTAGTTTGCACAATTTTTTGAACTAGACAAGCGCATATTCTCTTTAAAAGTAAACAGAAAACTTAACACGAAAAAAGTGAAGCAAAAACGAAGAAGTAAATGAAGAGAATATGAGAGAGAACGGTTTGGAAGTGGAACAAGTTTAAAAATTATAAAAAAAGTAACCATTTATGACACTCGGATCATTAACAGCTCGAAGAAAAACATCAATATCAGAGCATTTCTCATCCACGATTTCCCGAGATAATTCTCGTCCATTTTCAAAGTCTTTACCGTAACACATGACAGAAAATACCTGAAACCACAAATAAGATGAGAGAAGTTTCTAATCTTTCAACAAATTTAATAAATGCGAAAACTTACAGGTGACATCTTCTTCATATACTCAGAATCAATAAGGAACACTTGATTCTGCACAAGAATTTTAAAAGGCCTATCGAAATTAGAAGGAGCTGCTTGAAAACAAGGCTCACGTAAGACAACTTCCGTGCCCATATTCGGGTGTAATCTGAGAAAAGAAAACTTCTTAAAAGAACATCAGAAATCACACAAGCATACGGCAAGAATTTGAAATTTGTTATCAGAAAAATATAGGAAAAAAACACGAGAAGACGTTTGGAAAGCTTCAAAATTATTAATTAGAAAATATGGAAGGTTAATGAGAAGGAGGGAAACGAAGCAATCAAGAAAGTGAGAAGAATGAGAGAGATGGGGGGGGGGAGGCGTACTTTAGTGCATTAAGGAGGGATGATTACCTCCCAAATCAGGTAAGATGACGTTTGATTGGTAAAAAGATAAATGGAGTGCAAAGTTCTGAGAACAAAGAACAATCTTGTAGCATATTTTGGGTCAACTGCATTTACTAAAGACTGAAAAATTCAGTTAATGTGGCCAAAAACTTAGGCTGCACTTGCAAGCAATAACACAAGGTCATATAAGGATGGGCTGAAATTGTTAAAATGGCAAAAAAAGAAAAAAGAACGATGTTCGCAAAAATGAATGGCATAGAGAGAAGAAACTATTATGGGTGATAAGAAAGAGAGATGAAGTAGAAAGCATGAAGAATTGGGTAATTTAGTTGTGCTATGAGTGAGTATAGGGATGAGGAAGACGACGACAAGAAGGAGGAAAAGATCGTCCGTCGGGTTAACGAAAAAACCTTTGATAAATCAATTTGGCCCTTGTAGATATCATCGACATGGGTTTTGCTTTTTCAACAGACAACTGACAGGCAGTTTCAGAAGAGAGAGAAAACTTAAAAACTGGTATAAAAGAAGTGAACTTGCAGCTTTGAGCCAAACTATAGAGAACTGGTGATTTGAGAACATCTGATTATGGTCAAAAAAGAGAAAGACAAACTGAGAGGAAGATAGAAAGACTAAAGGGGTGAAATGAGTGTAAACATATACGAAAGATAGGACAAGACTAGCTTGCCACTAAACTAACTATTACATATACAAACTTTCGATTTCTGCCATCAGCAAAACTAGAAAACACAATTAGAAAAAAATTTTTAGACCTCGATCAAGGACGAAAAGAGTTTCTCATCTGAGATGTCAAGAGCCTGAGCTTCTTTAAACTGTAACGAAGAAGATGAGTAGGTCGGCCAAATGAAAGATTCGAAGAATACAGGTGATAACACAGAGAACTCTACAGTATGAATAGAAAGCTTGAGAGAGGAAGATAAAACAAAAAACTCAAGAGGATATTAAAAGCTGCGGTGCGCATGAACTTCCCCACACTTATATGAAAAAACTATCAGTTCTTTTTTATCCATTTTCTTTCTCCTTCTTCATTTTTTTTCACTTTAAAAGAAAATTGAAGAGTAAACACAAGTCAAACTCGCCCGGAATATTCGTCAACTCCCACACTTTCAGTAAATAATTAAAATGGATGATGGTGATTTCTAATAGTAATATCAAAGAGAAGTTGAAGCTTGCGAATCAGTCGAGTAAGCGAAAAATTAATCAAAACTCGTTTTTCTACACTCTAATGATACTTCTAAAGAAACGAGAAAGAAAAACAAGAAACTAACAGAGAAAACTTTTTTCCATACCAAAGGTCGAGGTCAAACGGAAGATTTCACGGACCTCGAGGCAACTGTCTCGAGGTGGCAGCAGAAACAATATTTAAGGAAAAAAACATACGGCTTGTTCGTTTCTATTTTGCAGCTTCAAAGGGCAGACGTAAACTGAACAACAAAAAAACTAAGAATAACCGAAACGAACAGTCACGTCAAGGAATTTCGCAAATGATTCTTGTACAGATCTGAGATTTTTACTTTCGAAATCATCTCGGAATAGCATTATTACTGTTGTGATATGAATAGTATGAAAGACGGTTAAAAAAAGTTGAGAGAGAAAATGGAACTCTTCCGAATGCGGTTTTCGGGGACGAACCGTATCACGAGGCAATTCTATCATCGCAGCAGCACGTGGGCTGGCAGTTCGCCAATGCCTTATTTGCAGTTTAGAGATGGTTTTCTCTCATTCACTTATTCATTTTAGGCTATTGTAAAAGAGGTGAAGAGCTTACTAAAGGTTTCAGTTATGAATAGGCGAATAACAGATGTAAAGATGTCAGAATGATGATGAAACAAGGCTTATACTCAGATTGAGTGACGAAAAAGTTGAAAAGAAACAAAATGTTATTAAAAGCTAAGGATGATGACATCAATTCATGAATCATCTGGATGAAGGATGTGACTAACATATGAAATAAAACAAAAAAAAAAGAAAAAAGGAAGAAAACTAAAACAGACTTCAGAAAGATATGAGTACACTGTGTACCCAACCAGCACCTCCCTTTTAAACCTTTGATCTCTCGAAACCATGTGTGTATTCAATCAACTATCACAACTGCGAAATGTAACAAAACATTTACTATAAAAGGTGAACCTTGTACTATCTGATCAATCGCCTACCCGATTCACTTTACTATTCGTTTTTTAAAAATACAGATGAAGAAGCTAATGCAATGGTAAAACAATATTTTGTCAGGTGGAATATATTATTTAAGGTGAATGATGCAACCTCAAATTTCACAATATCCTATCTGGTTTTGGAAAATCGATAATTTGAATAAAAAAATAACTTCTTACTGCAGTTGAAGATATCGAAATAAAGCAAAAAACTAGTTGATTATCAACATTTCAGAAAAACAGCAGCTGTGCGTGGATTGTTAAAAGTTGTTAAAGTGGTTATAAAACATCAGAAAACAGTTGAAATATCAGAGTTTGCAAATAATGAATTATTAATTTCGTAATAAAAAAAACTAATTTCCTCACTGCCATCGTATCGTTCTTGCGAAAGATTACCCTCGCTATAGCGTTGAGGTTCAACCGTTTGTTTGCGTTGAAATTTTTTGCAATTTCCACGTGTGCACGTAATCCGCACAAAAAGAAAACATAAGATGATAGAGCAGAAGTGCAGAGCGGTTGGTTTCTACTGAATTATAGCATTAGAAGAGGTATGAAAGGGACGCTAGATATGAGTGAGAATAACAGGCTTTTGACGCAGCCGGTTGGCCGAAAATTCCAACATCATCTTGATGTTATCTAATAGAAGCTTTATCTACCTTCATTAAGCAGACACAAAGACGTCATGATGATGAGAGGAGATGGATAAACAAAAAGTTTTTTTGTTCTTTTCATTTTGATATAGTTAGCTATTGGTTGATGAAAAGATTAAAATAAAAGAATATTTATTGTTTGATAATAATAATCAATTTGATAACTTTCACTGAAAAAGTGATAGGAGAGGCATTGATTTTCTTTCTGTGTTTATACATTCGAAAAACAACAAACTTCTATTTTAATATTTGATACAAAAATAAGGTACTCAATTTAAGCATCATGATGTCACTCTCATCTGATTAAGAATGTTCTCGACGTAGGAATCTGAATATCAATCAGTCCACACGAATTGAATGTTTGGTTTCAGAAGATAAAAATCTCCTGAAACTTTGTAAGCATTAAATTATTATTCTCAAATAAAATCATAAAAACAATTATTCAAAAAAATTTTTCATATGACCCTGGATGGATTGAGCTTTCAGAGATATCCTATGGGGATCTCTCAGATTGGGAACAGCATACAGCAAATGTTGTTTTTTTGACTTCGAAGAAACAGCTCATTTCTAATTTTTGGTCTTTAACTAGGCATTTGGGAGTTTCAAGGAAAACGTTTTTAAGGTTCAAATAGTTAGAATAAGTTCAGTCAAGCTCACTTACACCCCCTCTCTATATTCTACCGAATGTGCGTTAGGAGTTTGGAAAGGAAGAAGGAATGTAAATGAGTAGCACAGAAGATTCATTCTTTCATGAATATAAATACATTTCTCTGTATAAAACACCAATTTCATAACCGGATTGAGGAAAAAATATTTGAAGAGCATCAAATTGAAAAAAAAAATTTCAAAAGCCGATTGACTTGTGCAGGAAGTGTCATTCGAACAGATCAGGAATAAGTCAAAGGGAAAATATATTCAACTGGATGGCTCTTTTGGATTGACTTTCGAATGAGAAAATAAGAAGAGAATTAAGATAAAAAACATAACAGCCAAAAGGACAAATCAAAAAGAAAAGAGGAGAAACGAAGAAATAGTGTTTAAGCTTTTAGCTTTTCTTCACATCCGCGTTCCAGACGGGTATAAAACATCGCGACTGAACTCTCTGGCAGCACATCTCTCTTTCTCATAGCCTGTCTAATCTTCTTTTTTTCCACTCTCCTTCTCTCTCTCTCTCTCTCTCTCTCTCTCTCTCTCTCTCTCTCTCTCTCTTTTTCTTTCTCCATATCATTGGTTTTCCCTCAGGCACTCACTATCTTCCTTTTATCTTTTAGTCTTTTTCAAATTTTTTTCTTTATAGTTCTTCATTCTTCTTCATCTTCACGTGCATGGTTGGTGCTGAGGCAGAGCGGGGTGGTAGAGCCATTTCCAAGCAACAGAATTGACGGAACGGTTGTGCTCTCCATTTCTTTTTCAATTCTTGCTCTCTTCTTGCCTCGTTTTCTCTGCTTGTGGTTTCACTTGATCACCTAAAGCTTTCGTCTTCAATCTCGTCTGATACAACAGTTGTAACGGCTCGTTTCCCGAATGTTATCCATTTACCTCATGATTTGTTCAGAAGGACAACTGTCATATGTGACGTCGAAAAGCCGAGCATCTTTGTAATAGAAAAAAAAACGAAAGAAGAGCTATTTTTTCATGATCACATGTTCTCTCCTTCTCATCTCTGAATAAGTCACGAAAAAAACTTTACAAACTTCTAACTAACACAAAGAAGAAGAAACAAAATGAAATGAACAAAATTTTCAAATTAAAAAGCTTAAGAGAGAAGAAAATCGTATTTTAATTCCATCTCATGAGTACACACAAGAGGAATTACGTAAGGGAAGAGAAAAAATAATTTTTTATGTCCTTATTATGTTTTTCTTTTCTATTTATTATGTATTATATGGGATTTTGTTACAAGAAAAACAAGCACGAACAATGTCGAGAAAGGATTGAATATTTCGAACTCTTTTGTTGAAAAAAACGAAGGAAGAGAGGGAAATGACGGGGGGGGGGGGGAAGATAACATGAAAAACCAGTTGAGCGTTGTGATGTTTCAAAAAAAAGATTTTATGAAGATAATTTGATTATTTTGACGTCCAAATGTCAAAAATCTTTTTTTTTGTTTACTCGAAAGAGGAAATAATTGCATTTATTTTGGAATGGTGAGACAAACATTTGGCTGAAGGGTAAGTTACTCTCTATTCAGAGCAAAAATTGACCAGTTCAAGAAGCTTAGACGAAAGAGGATGAGAGAGCAGGAGAATATGATGAAAGACATGAGTCAAGTACTTTCAGAGCAGGAAAAAAAACTCCTTTCTGAGGCAAACTTTATAATAAATTGTTTGACGTTTGGACATGAATATGAGATTACTTGAAGAAGGAAAATAGGAAGAAGCTTATGAGAGAAATTTCCTTTTTCATCTCTCTCTCTCGTTCTCCTTCTTTCTCCATCAAACATTTATAAAGGAATTGTTGTTAGTTTAACGATGTTTCCAATGAAGTTAGATCGAAATGTAATGAAATACATTGCTTTTGTGGAAAAGAAAAATGAACTGAGATGAGCACATCGAGATTTCTTTTTTCAAATCAAAACATGTTGAAAATAGAGAGATCAGATGGTCTTGTTTTCTAATTTACCAAATAAAATGTCAAGTTCTTCAGAAAAAAAACAAAACAAAGTAAGAATTCTGTTTAATACATATTATTATATGTATCTGAGTTCTTATCGTTCATTTCTACATTTATAGGTCGTCAGCTGCAATTTTGCTGACCTAATCATTAATGTTTTTGAAATTTCTGCTGATATCAACGAAAAAAAGTTAATTATTGATTTATAAATATTACGTGTTGATAGTTATAAAACACATAGTAACACAATAACAATTATTTTGCTCAGTATGCTGCTAAAACGGACAGCATTGATGGCCGCATACTGAATATCCTGGAATGCAAGTGCAGCCGGACGGCCCGTATTGGCATGGTATCTGAAATATATTTTTGTCGTCTCAACACTTTTGTATCTGATTGGTTGGCAGATTTTTATTTCCAGAGAAAGTTTAACATCAGCTCTGTCTTTTGATTCTACAAGAAAAGAAAGAAATTAGTTGACTACCAACCCTCCATAGTCATTGAAGGCTGGAAATTCGGTTGCACGATTATCAAAAAACATCTCGTCCATCATCTCAGTCGAACGCTGTGTATAAACTTTGTTTTGAGTTTTGGAAAATGATAGGTTAATACATATAAGAGTAAAAATTACGATTTTTTTAGATATTTTTCATGTTAATCAAATGATGGAACTTACTGCAACCGGCAAACAAGCGCTAGCACAAGCATTGGAACAAGTGTTTTGACAGATTGGATACGGTTGGGTACAAGTAGAAATACAATTATTTTGGCAACTTCGGCAGTTATTCTGAAATTTCAAAATTTGAAAAATTTGAATGTAAACTCCATAATAATTTTTCATCTTACAATTTGCGGTGATTGTGTAAATGAGCATCCAGAAGATCCGTTACATCCACTGCGACAACTGGTGGCACAGTTATTTTGACAACTCTGAGTTGAAACTTAATAAACACATAGTTAAATATAATTACTTGAGCACAAGTGAATGTTGTGCAAACATTTGAGCATCTTTGTTGGCATTCAGGAACACATCTTATAGGGGGTTGTGTAGGTCGAATGATCACTGGAGGTAGTGTCACTGGGGGTGCAGGACAACCACAGTTATATGAGCAGCCTAAAATAGTGAAAAAAGAATTCACCAGATTTCTTCAAAAAAAAATCTAGAAATAAATTTTGAACAAAAAAAACAACTGGATAAACTTTGCATGACGGTCATAGCAAAGAGTAGCATTTGTCACAGGCAATCGTTTTGAAATGGACAACGCTTCAAAACTTATAGTGAGATCACTTCCTTCATAAAACTCTACGTATAGTTATTTTGAAAAGTGACGTGATGAATATGATCTTTGTATACTATGTTACGAGAATTCATTATGTAAGCGTGATCGATCATTCAACTTCGCGTGTAGTATCACAATTAAGAATATCTTGTTTTCACGTAGGGAACACTAACTTAAGATTGATATTAATTGTTTTCATCGTATTTTTTTCTGTTTACACGTAAAAAATGAAGAAAACTGAATTTACCTTGAGCGCAAGCTGGAGTAACACAACGTGATTGACATTGATTAATACATGTAGGAGTACAACTAGGTGGAGGCTGCAAGTATCATTAAGAATAAATACTAAAAACAGTATTACCTGAGCACATGAATGGGGACAGTTATTTTGACAATTATTGAAACATGATGGCGTACGACAGATCATGACGCAAGCTGATTGACATTGTCTGACACACGGAGGTGGTAGAGGGATCTGAAGAAAATAAAAAAAAAGTTAATATGCTATTGTTTTTTACTGGCATAATAGATGGACAACATGAGCTAGAAAACGAGTTGCAACATTGCCTTTTTGTTCGAGTAAGAGTTGTTTCGGGAAAGATAGAAGAGTTCTTAAAATATGTATATTCCATGATTAAATGAGATGCAGAATACCTTAACCTCAGATTTACTAGGAATAACTAGGTTCAGCAGAACAAGAAGAATTATTATTTTCATCTTTCGTTCAGAAGGTGAACAGAGATTGAATGAGTTTGGCTCATTTTTCTTTTTATTTATATTAGTGAGAGAATGCAGTTATTCCGGACCTTCTTCAGATGGACAGTAAAGAAGACCGGTCATTGAGAATACTTTCGACAAATTTCAATGACCTTTCATAATATAATGCAATAGAAAAAAGATATTGTTGTTGCTCAGGAAAACGGATGACTTCCAAACCCCCCTTCCCCCCCCCCCCCCCCTTTATAGTATTTGAACTTTCATCACTTCCGGATCATTTCAATAATAAAGCTTAATCAAATTAGATTTATTCCATTAAGAGAAGTGTTTTAAACTCCTTTTTACTGTATCTAGTAAGATTTCCTAGGAACAAACAGGAACAATTTTTTTTAAAGTCAAACAAGTTTTTCTGGAAACGGTTCAAGTGTTTGGCAGAAAGAGATTGAAAGGGCCAAAAGATGAGCAGAAAAGTGCAAAAAATATGGAAAATGTTTCCTTTTTGAGTCAAATGATCGAAAATCTAAGCTTTTCTATATAATTTTCTTGTTCAGGTGATCACAGATGAAGCCTATTACATGTTTTAACAGAAGGGAGGAACTGAAAAAGAAAAACATAAGGAGTTCCCCCTGCCGCATATAGTAAATAACATCACTGATATAATCTCTCTACAAACGCGTCTTGGAATGTTTCATGGCAAAATCATCTTCAAACGTTTTTCTTCTTGACAATCCATGAATTCTTTTCTGAAAACATTACTTGTATCTAATTTCTTTCTTAACCAGACAAACCCTTTTCAAATAATTTTCTCTTATTTTCAGCATCACATCGTGCGGTGGAGCGAAGCCTAAATATGATCGGGTGACACTTATTATTTGATGAAAGAGTTTTTTTAAAGGTGTTTATTCATCTATGTTATAAACCTGGAGGTCCAACGTTACGAATGCTCGTCATTTCCGGTAATGGTGCGAGTGGAGGAGCATGCAGAATATTCAAGATGTTTTCATTCTGAAAAAGAAACAAACTTGGAGATACTATTGCCTTTCTCGAAAATATGAAAAAAAGTTGAATGAGAACAGAAAACGTTTGTCCTTCCTCATTCTCAACTTTTGGTCTCTGACGTCATTTGAAAGAACAGGAAACGGTATTCTAACAGGTATGAATAGATAAGGCTCACCAGACGTTCGAAATCATGATCATCGGGTCCTTGTAGAGCTACAGCCATGAAGAAGACAGAGAGAAGAATAAGGAAAGTTCTCATTATTATTTATGTCTTAAAAAGAATAATTATCTAAAATGCAAGGAGAACAGAAAGGTAAAGACTTTAAGATAGAAAACTGATATGTTACTATTGCTAATAGTATTTTCTATCAACTTCTTAACGAAAAGTTTTCTCAACAATTTCTGACAAAAAATGAAAAGTTAAAAAGTTCAATCATTTTCTGTTGAAATTCGGAGGAGTTGACCACATGGACTGGACAGAAGAACTGAGTTTGTCAAATCAACGCCCTTAGCGGTCATGAAAGTTACAAGGACTTTGGTAATTGGATAAACCCATCTGAACTTCTTTTTGGAATAAATGAACTTCTTTTAAATAGTTCATGACAGGTCAAATGATATCACGTAAATTGTTTTCGTCAATTATTTTTTTTGTATAATCTTCGAGGTTATTCATTTCAAAAATATTTGATCATTAATCTCAGAGTAGCAAGAGAAAACTAACAGAAGTAGGAGCATTTCGAAGGTGAGGATGTAAGCTTATAAGTTACATTAGCAAAAATAAATCAAGAAGCCTTATCAAAACATTCATAAGATGACTTCAGATCAAAATCTCTACCTGCGGATTTCATAATTAAGAAAAACACTGAGAAAGAATGATTGACTTAGTAGTTTCGATATTTTACTTAATTGTTTCGTCAAGTTGGCAGCTGACTAACCCAATTTTCATCATTTTTGTATTTCATAAATGGTTTTTTTTGCTGAACTTCTCACTTTTGTCATTTTATTTTTCAGTTTTCATATAATTTCAGGAATAAAAAATGAATAAAGTCTTATCAGCTTCTCTTGAGGGAAAAGAGAAGAAAATGGAAATAGGATGGTTTCTGTACATGAAAAGCAACTAGTAAATAGCCAAAGGAAGACCTTGAAGACAAGGCTGTTTCTCGGCAATCGCCATTTCTCAGACAATACGAGAACAGCAATCTCTTGACGTCCATTTACCTTTTTTTTTTCATCTCGAGACATCAAACCAGTTTCATCGGCTGATAACTATTCTACTTTATTAGATCTGAAAAAGACATTTAAAAACTACTGAGAAGTTGCTTTAAGAGTCTTTATTTCCTCTATGTATTGATTGTCCTTACAAATAAAAATTTATTCAAAGAGTTTTCATTTAATTTGGCTTAACAGGAGGTGCCAATGGAGATCCTAATCCCCGAAGAGCTGAAAATAATCCTTCAAGAAATCCAAGTTCTTTTCCAAGTCCACCCTTAAACAATTCAATTATATGACCATGCTCTTGTCAATCGGTATTTTTTCTGAACATACTAGTTGAAAAACATCAACCCAATTTCCCTAATTTTTGAAAATCAAGCAATCATACGATAGAGAGAGAGAGAGCGAGAGAGAGAGGAAAATATGTTTTCATGACACTAAAGAAACGAAGTGGAAAAATTGTGGAAAAAAACTTACAACAGCCTTCTGATTGGCTAAGGTCAGATTTGTGCCAACATCTATTCCTCGTTGTTTGTCGAATTCAAAAGAGTTGGCTCCACCATATTCAGAGCCATTGACGTATGCAGCATCTTCTTCTATAATGAATTAATGAATAAAGAAAATATTTTTTGAACAAGAGACTTTGAATATTGAAAGTCCCATTGCCTGCAACAACTTTCACATTCCTTCGTCCACCCCATCCGAATAGGTTCACATCTTGTCCCCCCACTATCTCAACCTTTACAAATCAAATGTATATTATGAAAATAAATGTTAACTCTCGCTCACTTTACCATCATCCGTCTTTTTGAATCCCAAGCCTCCAAAAGGCAATGGGATATTGAAAACTTGTGCTGAAACATTAAAATATGATTAACAACAAAGATATAACAACAAACCTAATGACAGTTGTATGAGAACTATAGATATTAGCCAACGCATTCTGATCAATATCCAGGAGAATATGGAAAAGGACACAAACGATCTGGACGAATGGATGAATCGTGTTTGATAGTTCGTCAAATTCACCCAAGTTTTATCCCCTTCGTGTTTCTCTTCCTCATTCTATTCCATTCACTATAGGAAAATAAAAAAAAAAGTTCCTTTATCATACAAAAAACTCTTTGTTAATCTTTCTGAACGCTTTGAGATTACTTCATCTTTTCATTCTTTAGTTTCCAGTTTCTTCTTATGCAATAAATAAAATAAATTCAATTGTTGTTGTTTGTTGTTTCCACAATATGTAAACAAACTTTGTCAAACAAAAATAATCAATATTAATTCTTTTTTTAGATTATTATGATATCTGAGCATTTTTCATTTTCATTATAACCCATTTATCGAATTATCATTCACTTATCTATTCATTTCCCTCTCTACATAATCGGTGAGAGACGAGAGTACGAGATAAGGGGTAGTACACTACAACAATCATTTTTTGTAATTGGTAAGAGTTTATTGATTAGATATAGACGTGACGAGTAGGTGTCATTTGCACACCTTTTTCTCCTTCTGATTGTTAACTTTTGCAGATCTTTTGATAAGCCCTCCCGTCATTCTTTTTTCTTTATTTACCGATGTTCGCTTTTATTAATTCTTTATTACTGCATTTTTATTTTTAGTTCTGATCGAACCAACCGTTTCAGATCGTCTTTCATTAAAAAATGAGATCCACGTGCTCAGAGCAGTGGGCGGTGAATCCCGTGAAAGCCGCGTCGTTTTTTTAGTAAGAATTTCACAAAGAAAATATGTATATAGATTCTACTTTTTTAGAAAAGGATATATGAAATCCACATACCTTCTGGATAAAGTGCTCAGGTTAATTGCAAGGAAATTATAATCATCGTGAGTATTTTGTAATTACATGCTGAGATAAAGATCTAAACGAGAGAAAGAGATAGACAGAGAGAATGAGATTGAGTAGATTTTGATTTATTGTTTTGTAAAAATTATGAATTAGGTGGCAAATGCTTATTCTCTTAGTTTTCTCTTGGTCTTTCGGTTTTACCTTAGTAGCTCTTTTCTCTTACTCTCCTCCCTTTCTTTCATTTCTCTTATGTTTTCGTCATTCATTCAGAGGTCTTTAAGTCTCATCTTGCCATTCATTTGACCAGGGCCTTTGAACTTATAACAAATCGAACAGTCGGACAGCTGACAATTAACAGCTGACCAACTAATTTTTCATCAAAACTCTCCAAGTGCCGATAAATGCTAATTGTTGCAGCTTTGTCGCCTTTTTTCTTTTATTCTTATGAAAAATTTCGATAAGTTTGTTGCTGGGTTCTCTCTTGTGTTGACGATTATCATCGTAAGTGTTGAAAAGAGATCTCAATCAATTGTAATTCTTCTCGTTTTCAATCTTTCTATCATCCTCGAACGAACTTGAAGCTTCTCTCATTTCCTCAAAATATTTCGAAAGTTTTTCTTAGCCTGTCATTGGGTTTACTTTGAAACCGAGCAAACTGATGAACAATCTGTTCATAAAATGAATTTGTGAGACGCTCATCGTCACCTCATTCTTCTCTTCGCACCCAGATGCTAGCAGTTTTTTACGTGTTACATATGATATTGGCAGAAGATGAATTACTTCTTCAGAATCTTCACTATTCAATCACTACTTATTTTTCAATTTCACAAATTTCTATTACTTCCTCTTACTTTCATTAAAAATTCAGGTGAAACACTGTTTGATTTGTCCTTCTGCTAGGCTTCCTTTGAATTTTTTGTGTTTTTGACCTGAGTATTACAATTGCCCCATCTGACCGTCTGTTGACCATACACGCACGTCTTTTAAAAGAAGTTCGCTTTATTTCCTTTTTGCTAAAAGTTCTTGTCATGTAAAATAGGTTTTGAAAAGTTGTGTTTTTTCTATATTCTTATCTTTTTTGAATTTACCAATACTGTTTGATATGAGGGCTATTAAATTAAGTTTTTGTTCAAATATGGTAATTTCTTCATAAATTGTATTTGTTATAAGGCTATAATCATTACGAGGAGATTCCTCTATATCATATATTTATATAAATATATAGAAAGTTGACAGCCGTGAGTATTAAAATGCACAAGGTCAAAGTTTCTATTCATGAGCTAATGTACGATATTCTTTGCCTTAAAAGGGATATAAATAAAGAGAGAAAAAGAGGATAGAGAGAGAAAGAGAAAAAGAGCAAAAGGTGACAATAACAGGTCTCAATCACAAATGTATTGAAACATTTGATTAAAAGAGATTTCTTCTTTGTCGACCTTTCTTTTATTCGGAACTTCCGTTACTTTCTCGGAATGTGGGAGGGAGAGGTTAACTATAATTCTTTATAACTCTTTATGTTTTTGTCATTTCATACGTTCTTTTTCATGCAAATAGGCATGACCCATGGTTCTCAAGATTTTCTTTGAAATCGATCTTGTTGTATCCAGTGGAATGAAAGACAGAAAATGGTTTATCGTTCTAGAAGTTTCTTCAAAGAGTTGGGATAAGAGTTGCTGGGCAACCTCGTAATCCTTGTTTCAATCATGATTTTCTTTTGTTCATCTTTTTGTTTAATTTTCATTCAATCTCGTCCATCTTCATTGATTTTTACAAACTTTTTACTCCAAACGAAATAATGATGAATGTCTTCGTATTTTCATTCGATGCGCATTAAATTCATTAAATATGAATAATCTTTCAAACGTTTTAGGTTCATTCATCTATCAAACTGCATAGTTAACGAACTATAAAATTTTCCCCTTGCTTATCCAAACTTCTTTCATCTTCTTCTTCTTCTTCTTCTATAATCGTCTCTGATAAATCTTCATCATAAGATTATACCTCCTTTCCTTCCTTTTTCTCTATCTCTCTCTCTTCTTCGTATCTCTTTCTCTATATTTTACTTTTAATTTTAGTAGGCAGTATCACTTACTATTCTAGAACATCAAGTGTTTACTTAGAGCTTCGACTGGATCCTTATTCGGTTTATTCAAAATGTATCAACATCCTTTTAAACCTTTACCTGTCGCTCCCACATCAGTTCACTCTGTTGTTTTTCGTCAACACAACCGTTCTCTATCTTTTTATATTTGAAAATGACTCAACATACCCGTCATTCTCACGTTTATGCAAAACTTTATGTTAATGAAGGGGAATAGAAGTTTATAGCACTGCATGAGGCTAATAAGAACATTTTCTTATATTTCATATCCAATTCATTAGCGGTTTGATCTAAAAGACTCTTATAGACCTCTTTAGAATCTCTTAAGCTCTATATAGCCAGCCTATCCTAAACAGATTGGAGGTCCTCAAAACGTTATATAATAAAGAGATATGAAACAGAAGTTGTTTCTAGAAACAAAGGAGGACAATTTTTTTCCTTTTGCATTGCTTATCAATGATTTTTAAAAAATAATTATTCTCAATGCTCTGTTTTATAATGTTATGGAAGCATTGAGAGTAAAATGATCCATAGCAGGGTTCACTTGCCCTAACTCTTTATATCCAATTTCATTATTTCACACCATTCAGACATTAGCAGATGACATATTTGGGTATGCCATTCAGACAATTCATATAAATTTTTATTTTTTCCAATATTGTGTTCACTGTTTGAGTTGAGGGTAAAGCGAAATTCAGATTTTTCTTTTGAAACTTATAATAAATCTCCTTCTTGGTATGTTTATAATACGATTCATTTGTTTATTTCGAACAACAAGATCATTCTTTGATCTTCCTCTTTTTCTTCGTATTCGTGGCTTCATTCAGTTGTTTTCAGATGTTATGATCTGTAACCGAGAAACACTACTGACAGCTTGCGTGGCTTTAGCCTTATTTGTTGCCATTCAAGTCTTTATTTTTGCTATTTCCTATAAAAACCTCCGAAATGATATTATTCAAGAAGCTTATTTAGGACGCCGTGTTTACCCATACAGGTTCGTTTTCTTTATCACTCGAACAATGAGATTTATTATAGTATTTTAAGAAATATTAGTGGGCAGCTACCGTCGGCTTTGATTATCGGAGTTCGCAAAGGTGGAACAAGAGCTTTACTAGACGCTCTGAACCTACATCCTAATATACGAACTGTGAGAAAAGAAACTCATTTTTTCGATATCAACTATAGCAAAGGCCTTCAATGGTATAAGGAGAATATGCCCGTTACTGATGGCAAGCAGGTTCGATATATCTAATCGTCTTCCTGGTATTCATCTTCCTTATAGATAGTGATCGAAAAAACTCCGGGATATTTTACAAGTCCGTTAGCTCCGGAAAGAGTTTTCAATTTGAATCCAAAGATGAAAGTTATCGTTATACTTCGAGATCCTGTACAGAGGACTGTTAGTGATTTCACTCAAGTAAGTTTTCAGATTCTACTCAGTTTCTGAGCACACCATAAACTGAAAGAAAACTAATATCTTACTTTAAGGTGTATTACAATAAGCTCGAAACAAATAAAACTTTACCTATTTTCGAGGAAGAAGTTTTCATACCTGGAACCAAAGAACTGAATCTGTCGTACAAGCCTATCAGAAATTCTATTTATCATATGCATTTGACAAATTGGCTTAAGTTTTTTCCTATCAACCAAATTTTGTTTGTAAATGGGGATGTGTTCCGAGGGAACCCACTGAGCGAGGTTTAAGATAAGATTTTCAGTTCGAACTGACTTTTTTCTTTTCCAGATAAGAAAAGTTGAAAACTTTCTTCAATTGCCAGCATCAGTTTCAATTGACCAATTAGTTTTCAATGAGAAGAAGGGTTTTTTTTGTTTCTTGAAAACTCCAACAAGTTCACTCAGATGCTTGGGAAGTAGCAAGGGAAGAACTCATCGTCAAATACCTTCTAATATCTTAGAAGTTTTGAGGAAGCAACTAATCCCTTTTAATAACAAGTTTTATAAACAAATCAATCGTATTTATAGCTGGTAATCGAAATTCACTTTCTGTTCGAAAAAACTCTTGTGTCTGAAAAAAGAATGTAATAACATTGTGATAGGTGATTATCTCAGGAAATAGGTTTGTAAGAGTTCTATCGATTTATAATGTATTCTCACAACGGGTCATTGTTTCAAGCTCTAGCTTAGATCTTTTTAATAAAATATTCAAATTTCCTTGTTCGTTCGTTTTGAAATCAAATAGCTAATTCAATAAACTTAGCTTTCTTTGTTCACTTTTTCTTCTCTTACAACACCCCGAATTTCGAAGACGACATTGAGAGTTCACAAGCTCTTTTTCATTTCATTTTTTTCTGCATTTTGTTTGAGTTCGAAAACATTCTTGAAGATTCTTGCAGCATATAGTTCTAGATAACTCACACTATTCCTGAGACTTTGTTCGAAGCATAACATAGCGTATGCTCTTGGTCTAACCAACAATAGGTCTGTAACTGAAATAAGTGCTTAGAAGTGAAAAAACCCATCCACCAATATGTCTACGTGTAAGCATCCAACTTCCATCGTATTTCAATTGGTCTCAAGGAAGCTTTCACGTTAATTCCCATAGAAAGTCGTTTCCTTCCTTAATTTTTTATTCAAAAAGTATTTAAAAATAATTTTCTTATGATGTTTGAATGACAAATACGTTCCGGAAAGTCTTGTCATTCAAACGAAAGTTTAAGTTCCCATTGCCTCAGGGACTTTCCGCTGGTCACCTCTAACAACGTCGATTTCTGCAGAAAACTCTAAGCTTAAATAGTTTCTAGAAAAAAAAAGAGATTTTCTTTTGTTCCAAACATAGAGAAAAGAATCCTAATGAAAAATAAATACGTTTTTTTGTAATGTGAGACTTTATTTTGTATAATATTGAGTTAAAGAGTTCCTTCTTTGGCTATTGAACTTCGTTCATTCCCTCTGAAGTTTTGCGTCGTTTCCATGTTTTTGTCCAAGTGAAAGCACCATCAATTTGTTTCATTCAGAAAAATTTTGTATAAGCTGAGAAAAAAACTGAGAAGAAAGAACGAATGCTCGCATCTGAAAGATTCGTTACTCTCAAAATTGTAAGTTTATACTTTGCACGGTTGCATCATCCTTGTCTTTCCATTTTGTGTTCCAAGAACTTCACATTAATATAGAATAACGTTTCTATTGACATTTTTGTTTTTTTTTACATTCAATAACAATGAAATAGACAGTTTAAAGAAAAAAAGAGAAGAGAAATGGACGAAGTTAATCCTATTCGTCTGAATCTGAAGTTGGACAGATTTCTTCTTATAAAATGAAAGAATGATATATTATTTACTGGAAAAAATGTCCAAAAATGAAGCGACGAACAAACCCATAATCTATCCAAAAAGGTTTTTTTCATTCTGTTGAAACAAAAAAAAATTTTTTTTAAGTCCCTCTTCTGCTGTTCTGTCATTTCATTTATTCCAACACAATGCCTTCTTTTTACATAAACTCTCTTATTTGATACCATAAATGGATTATCTATCTAATCAATATATTTTTTTATTGTAAAAATGAAATTTTTGAACCACTTGAGAGGTATTTGAAATCTTTTTTTTATGGATTTCGATCACTCGATTTAACATATTGAAACCATGTGTAAGAACAATTGAATTGTCCTGTTGGATAGAAGCTTCAGGTCTTAACGTTCTTTTTCTTACATCTTTAGGGGGTAATCGAACCCTTTGTTTCTCATATCCCAATATATAAGTTATATTGAATTTCTGTAACAGTTTATAGCTTGTTTCTTTATTTTAAATTAGTTGACTCATTATTATGTCGTTCTGTGAATGAACTTTGCTTTTTGTTTGAAGGTGTTTCATTCATTTGGCACTCACTCCTTTTGTGTTGTTTATTAAAAATTTAAATTTTGAGACGAAAAATGAGGCCAAAAATAATAAAGAAATTTGAGATTTTTCTCCTTATTGGTAGTTGAGAGGGTTATTGTTGTTGGAGGATCGTCGAAAAATTGTCGAAAGAAACTTTTTTTCAGCTGCCTCTATGAGATATCTGTTGAATGTAAAGAAATGTAAAGTTAGTTCTATGTTTTATTTGAATAACTTAGGTGTTAAGTCATCATTTCTATCTTGTTCAACAACATTTCCATCTTCTTTTTCTTTTTTTATCATTTTTTTGCCTGTGATAATACACATGTGCCGCAATAGCCCACTAAATCGGTCGATGAAGCTTCGAAGCTACTCAACTATACTTCTTTACTCTTAGAAATCGGTCATTGTCTGTTGAAATTTCTGCCACCCTCATTCTGTTTTTCGTTCCTAAAAAGGACTTTTCATTTTAATCAACCAGGAGAGAATGACATAATTTTGTAAATGTTTCATTTGATCATCCAACACATTCATTAGAACATTTCTGTGTTTGCTTGAACTTCATTTGCATACTACGCTTATCTTTTATTTTTTAAATTAAGTTTGCAGGAAGCGGTTGATTCTTTTTTCTTTCTTCTTCTTCTTTTTTTTCGAATTTTACTTTTTTCCAGATGTATTTCTATGTTCTTTTCATTTTGGTTTGTCAAACTGAAGTTAGTTCTCAAGAAGTGTCAGGATACCAGAGAAAACAAGTAGTACTTTGAGAATTTTGTATTTTTTCACGTTTAAAAAAAAATTTTGTTTCAGAATGTTGAAACTCATCAACAGAGACATCAAGCTCGTCCTGTCCATGCCTATGATAATAGGGACAACTCAGTGATTCCCATGGATTATGACATGGAAGACATTTTTGAAGATGAAGAACCTATTCATAACTCTCGCAGCTCTAGGTATTTTGGAATCGTTTGTAACATCTTCATGTAGATGTTTAGTAGGAGAGGATTTCCAATGAGAACTCATCATAGAGAGGATAATGTTCAACATCATCACACAATGAATTCTGACAGCGTCTTTGCTCAAAGCTACGGGTATTTTTTTTGTTTGCCTTAGAGGAAAGACCTGAAATGTTTTTTTTTCTGTTGGATTGTTATAGACTCATGTCGTTTAGTGTTAAAGGGGATAGTTAAAACTAGGAAGTACTTGTAGTAAAAATGGGTCTTGAAACGAAAAGTATAAAGTAATCCTTTATTACAAATTGATTTGGGTGAAGATTAACAGAAGAAAAGTTTTAAGCTTGTTTCCTGGGCTCAAAATGCTTTGAATTGATGAGAGTAAGACATTCTCATTCATCAGGAACACAGCAAAAAGTGCAATCCAGATGTTTTACATGAAAATGACCAGAAGAAAGAAAGATAGAATAGTAATTGAAGGAAGAAATTATTATTTCATTGAAGAAAGCAAGAATGTTTTTTTTAATTTCAGAGATGTTCGTACCTATGGGTAGGTTTATTAGCTAATACTAATAAGCTTCTTTGCTTCTCTCATATTCTCTGTCTCTCTCTCTCTCTCTCTCTCTCTCTCTCTCTCTCTCTCTCTCTCTCTCTCTCTCCCTATCTCGCTTTTCTGTAACTCTGACTAACTTTCTTTCTTATGGTTTTCGCACGATTAACATACATATATGATATTAGTAAACTCAACTGGATGTTTCGCCTTCTTACCAGGAGTTTTTAAATTCAATGCGCTGGTTTCAGAGAGACAAGGGATTTCTTACACTTTCTGCGTCGAATCAAATATGATCATCGTCAGTGTCCAGAAAATAATGACGGCCGTATGTTCTTTGGTTGATTTATAAAATAGTTTTATCCACGCTTAGAAGCTGTTGTTGTTGAGGTTTCCGTTGTTGTAAGTAATATTCGAGCTGTCTCGGAAGTAACGATGGTGAGAAGGACGATCCTTCCTGACCAAATTTTTTTTTTCAGGACTACGCGCTGGAGCTTTTCTATAGAGAGTCCTGGCTTGACTCTCGCCTTCAATTTGATAAATCTCTTTTTCGAAACAAAACTAAACTGGCCTTACATGAAAGTTATACCAATTTTCTTTGGTTCCCGGATACTTTCGTTCCAAATGCGATAGCTTCCAAGAATCCTCAGAAAAACAGCATCTCTCATCGATCATTATTACGGTCTGATTTTCCATAAAAGCTCGTACAAAGTTGACTTAAAGGTTGGAGGAAACTGGTAAATTGCTTTACAGTCGAAGAATATCCTTGATATGTGAATGCAGTGAGCATCTTTTTTCTTTATTCTCGTCTTAACAAACTTTTCAGCCATGGATTTAACTCTGTTTCCGTTTGATAAACAACTTTGCAAATTGGGAATAGAAAGCTGTGAGTGACTTCGTTTTTAACAACATGGAAAAGATTTCAGATGGATATACAGCTGATCAAGTGGTTTATAAATGGTCATCTGGATCTAGGAGTGCTTTGAAGTTGATGAAAATTCGTCTACCAGATTTCACAATAAAGGAAGCTTATGTTACTAGTCAAACAGAAGTGTACGCTACAGGTATTCAAGCTAGCATTAAGCCACATCTTCAAGAATTACAGGAAATTATTCTCGCCTTTATGTCTGTTTTGTGTTTTCTCGTTCATCAGGTTTCTGCTTCTTACAACTTATTATTCCTTCGACAGCCGTCGTTATTACCTCATGGGTATCATTATGGATGGAGAGTGAAACTGAGTTTCAGGTAGCTCAATGAATAACGCTTGTGTGTATTCACATTATGTTCAGGATATGATTTCAATTATCTTAGCGATAACATTCTTAATATTTTCATATAATGAAATGATGCCTCGTGTCAGCTACATAAAAGCCATGGACATCTACTTAGGCAACTTCCTTTTCAAAAACATCTTTCATTAATCTAATCTCGTTCAGGCGTTTGCTTCATGATTGTTTTCCTATCTCTCATCAAATTGGCTTTCGTTAAGTATATGAGACAAAGAATTCGTGTCACTGAGTAACTTTAAAAACAATTTTACATTTTCGTTTTATTATTTCTAGTGAAACTCCACATGCTTTGATGAATCAAATGATGTTGCACTCCCGAACGATAAATGGTATAATAGTCCCACGTGGAAATAACAATGTCGTTCTACGTA